TGCGGGCTGTTCCTGCTGCTGCTGGGACTGACTGTGCACCCCGAGAGCCTGGCTGCACCCCGAGGGCCTGGCTGCACCCCGAGGGCCTGGCTGCACACCCCAGTGCATGGCTGGTGCCCTGGGAGCCCTGCCCAGCGGGAAGACGTGTTCCTGCCTTCACACCACAGGCACCTTAGGATGTCAGGACGGCACCCCTGGCAGGACCCGCAGCCCAGCCCTTGCAGAGTCTGCCCCCAGGAACCAGCTCCAGGTGACACTGTCCGGTGCGAAGGCTGGGGACACCCTGGACATCCCGGCCGCCGCTGTGACCGAGGACACAGACCCCAGGGCTGAGGGTCCCTGAGCTTCCTGCCTCCTCGGGGACAAGGATTCAATGTCACCACCACGCAGCGTGCACAGAGCCACCATTAGACAGAATGCACACACGTGCACACACACACACGTGCACACACAGATGATTACCGACGGCCTGTGTCTCCTGGGTGGCGTTCTGGCTCAGGAGCAGCTGGGAAGGCGTCTTGCAGACACGCCTGGCATCTCCCCGTGACACAGAGGAGATTACCCCATATGTGAGCGACTCCTTCCAGTCCTGTGAGGCCTGAACTTGCAGTTACGTGTTCAGCAGGATCTGAGGGTCTGTGTGACTGTGGAACTTACAGGGAAAACAGCATTTACAGCCTTGAAGTGCTGAGGAGGGGACGGTGGTGAGGTGGGCAGGGGTCAGCACAGCAGAGGTGTGATTCTCCAAACAAGCGTCAAATCAACACGTTGTACACGACTAACTTACAGTCTGACATGTCAGCTACGTCTCAGAGAAGCAGAGAGAAGAGAAAAATGGAGGTTTCCTGAGAAAATTGAATATTCTAAACCTAGGCCTAACCCTAACCCTAACCCTAACCTTAACCATAGCGCTAATACTAACCCTCACCCTAATCCTAGACCTAGCCCTAGCCCTGACCCTAACCCCAACCCTGAGCCGCGTGGGCTGGCACTGTGCGGTTCCGCTCACACGCACTGTTCCATCCTGCGAGCAGCCAGGGTAGCCTTCGGCCTCAGTAAACACGGCGCAGGCTGGACACGCATTTCCTCTTCCGCACGATCCTCTTAGAGACGTTTCCTTTGTCCGGCTCACTTTACGGTGAGAATGCAGTGCAACCCACAGGACAACCCACAGGACACAGCACGTGTTCACCGGCTGCTCATGTCACATCCCGGCTGCTGGTCAACAGCGGCTTCCGGGTCAAGTTCTGAGAAAGTCAAAAGCTGTAGGTGGCGCGGCCTCGGGCTCAGTGGTGAAGGGCCGACCTATGACCTAGGAGGTCAGGGTTCGATTCCCGTCAGGGCACATGCCTGGGTTGCGGGCTCCATCCCCAGTGTGGGGCGTGCAGGAGGCAGCCAACTAACCCCAACCCCTAACCTAACCCTAACCCTAACCCTAACCCCAACTCTAACCCTAACCCTAACCCTAACCCTAACCCTAACCCTAACCCCAACCCTGAGCGGCGTGGGCTGGCACTGTGCGGTTCCGCTCACACGCACGGTTTCATCCCGAGAGCAGCCAGGGTAGCCTGCGGCCTCAGTAAACACGCGCAGGCTGGACATGCGTTTCCTCTTCCGCACGATCCTCTTAGAGACGTTTCCTTTGTCCGGCTCACTTTACGGTGAGAATACAGTGCAACCCACAGTGCAACCCACAGGACAACCCACAGGACAACCCACAGGACAACCCACAGGACAACCCACAGGACAACCCACAGGACAACCCACAGGACAACCCACAGGACAACCCACAGGACAACCCACAGGACAACCCACAGGACAACCCACAGGACAACCCACAGGACAACCCACAGGACAACCCACAGGACAACCCACAGGACAACCCACAGGACAACCCACAGGACAACCCACAGGACATGCACGTGTTCACCGGCTGCTCATGTCACATCCCGGCTGCTGGTCAACAGCGGCTTCCGGGTCAAGTTCTGAGAAAGTCAAAAGCTGTAGGTGGCCCGGCCTCGGGCTCAGTGGTGAAGGGCCGACCTATGACCCAGGAGGTCAGGGTTCGATTCCCGTCAGGGCACAGGTCCGGGTTGCGGGCTCGATCCCCAGTGTGGGGTGTGCAGGAGGCAGCCGATCCATGGTTCTCTCTCATCTTTGGTGTTTCCATCTCTCTCTCCCTCTCCCTTCCTCTCTGAAATCAATAAAAATATATTTAAAAAACAATAAAGGAACCAGGCCACATACTCAGGCCTGCGCGTCCGCCTTTCTCCGGCGGCCACGTGCCACCCGCAGCCCTCAGCTCACGGCTCTTCACGGCGCTCACGGGGTGGTTTGACGAGCAGATGTTCACTCGTTACTGTAATTAAATTAATCAGCGGCTGATTTTATGGTTGGCGTTTGATATTCGTTTGTTTATCCACGTTAACCAATTGTTCTCGCCGTGAAGCGGTGTCCGGCCTGGGAGTCTCGGGCTGTGAAGGCTCTGCCTCTCCCGGTGGCTCCCTGGGGTGAACGTGGATCCGCATCAGCCGCGAGCCCCGCACCTCACCGCCACGCGTCCTCTCCGCTGTGTGTGCCCGGCAGGTCCCCCCTCGGGGTTACATGGCTCACCTGTCGCTGTTTAACTAAGAGCTTTTCAAAATCATCAGTAAATACTGGGTTGTATGGAATGCCGTGTTGCCTATGACAAGATAATTATAAGGTCATTCTCCTTTAACAAGTTAATTTGATGGGCGATAATGATATATTTTTCTGTGAACCCACCCTTGCGTTCCTTGAATAAAACAAGCATAGTGGTTATTTTTGTCGATCCCTGGGTAATTCTGCTGGTGTCTCTGCTCAGAGTTTTGGCATCTGTGTTCTGTTTTGTTCGCAGAGATGCTCACGGAGGGTTGGGAGGATATTTACGCTTTTTCTGGTTTCTGCGAGTTTTTATACTTACAGGCGTGGCTCAGTGGTTGAGCGTTGACCTACGAACCAGGAGGTCAGGGTTCGATTCCTGGTCAGGGCACCTGCCTGGGTTGCGGGCTCCATGCCCAGTGTGGGGCGTGCAGGAGGCAGCCAATCAGTGCTTCTCTCTCATCACTGATGTTTCTATCTCTCTCTCCCTCTCCCTTCCTCTCTGAAATCAATAAAAAAGAAACGTGTTTATCAATTTCCAAATTGCGAGTCTATAAAATTCACATGGTTGTAATGAGTCCGGTTGAACTGTGGGTCCCCCTGGTTCTCTGCCCGCGCTCAGCTCAGGCTGCCGCGCTCCCCGCCCCGCGGCCGGCGCCTCCCGTCTGTGTGTGAGCTCTGCGCTCGGGCTCCCGGCTCATCTCTTTGTGGTGCGTTTGGTAATTTGCTCGGATGCGTCTCCAGCTTATTATTTGCTCCGTCCCGCTGTTTACCCGTCCGCTGAGCTCTTATTTCAACAATTATAATGCTCGTTTCTGGGGGTGATTTTTTCCTATTTGTGCCAGTTCGTTGCCTGCAGCCTCTTGTTTCTTGCTTATTTCGGGGGATGTTGGTTTTTGTTTAACCATCTGACACTTGGTTAACTTACGTCCTGCAGTTTACGCTCCAACAGGAGTCCGCGTGGGTGTAGAGCTGCCGTTGGCGTCTCTGCTGTGTTTGGGGACGTTGGGGCGTGGCCTCCTCCTGTGGGATCGTGGTCTCCGGGCTCAGGAAGGTCACGTGGAGGCCTTTCCGTGGAGGACCGGGCTGTGTTAGGTGGGGCCGACGTGCCCGGGCCACCCACCACCTCCGGCCCCGGCTGTGCCCTCCCCT